TACAGAAGTAGATTGCCCAGTCTTCCTTCCAAGGATTGGCTGGTGGGTTTGAACTTCCAGCCTTCTGGTTAGCAGTCAAATGACTTAGGCATTACTCTACCAGACCTCCTATTTACAGAAAAACTGATTAAGAAAAGCACAAAACACTTATGGAAAAGGCACAAATACATAATATTTAAAAGAATCCATAGCAACTGTCACAACTGAGATTTTTAAGTTACAGTAAATCTTGTAAATAACTTTATTCCAATAATTTCAAAATTAGATGTAACAGATCATTCTTTTAGAAATCTAAATTACCAGAAATGAGTACAATGTAAATAGAAAGCCAGACTAAATATGTACTTTTTTAAGGAAAGTAAATTCATAATAAAAAGCATTCTTCCTCTCCCCACCTCCCTCTACTCTACCTCCACAGACACACAGGCCTTGATGGATTTAAAGGAAAATTTTCACCCAAACCACAATAATCCAATAGCTCTTATTTCATCCAACTCTTCAGAGAATGTTGTTGTTGTTGTGTGCTATTGAGTTGATTCTGACTAATACCAACCCTATAGGACAGGGTAGAACTGGCCCATAGTGTTCCCTAGATTGTGATCTCTATTGGAACAGGTTGCCATGTCTTTTACAACTCAAAGTAGCTGGTGGACTCAAACTGCATACCTTTTGATTAGCAGCTGAGCGCTTAACCATTGTGCTACTAGCACCCCTTTTTCAAGGACTAAAACCATTGAGGCTAAATTGATTCTGAGTTGATTTCAGAGTAGAACTGTCCTGTAGGATTTCCAAGGCTGTAAATCTTTATGGGAGCAGATTGTCACCTCTTTCTCCTGTGGAGTGGCTGCAGGGATCAAACTGCCAACCTTTTTTTTAGCAGCCAAGCGCTTAAGTACTGTGCCACCAACCCTCCATTTTCAAAGAATAGGAAGAAAAATAGGGAAAGTTGCTTATCTCATTTTTAGGTTATTGTTATGCTAATATTATGACCCAACAAGTAGTATATGAAAAGAAAATCATAAACCCATCTCACTTATGGACATAGATGCACAACACCCTATTAACAAGTTTAGTTCAGAGTCAGTCTGTTGTCTTTCTGTCTGTCCATTTATCCATCCATCCACATACCCATCCTGAATTTACTTCATAAATGCAATCATAGTTTAAGGCCAGAAAATTTATTAATGTAATAATTATATCAATAAATAGATTTTTTTAAAATAACTACATTTGATTAGGTCAGGATTGTGGTGATCTCTAGAATAGAAGGGAAGGGGAATGAGGTTAAGGCATAATCCACAGTGGACTTCAGTTGTATCCATACTAGTTAATTAAAAAAATCTGAAGGACCTATAGAAAATGTAAAGATTTTATAAAGATTGTGTTGTGTCTTGTGATATTCTTTATATATTTTCTATATAATTATAAGTCTAGGGAGAGTTTGGGTAAGTGACTGAGATGTAGTTACCCTAGTGAGAGAAAGATTGGAAATTTTAAGTAGTGTTAGGAATGTAAGTTCTCATCACTCCTAATTATGATACTTTAATAATATTTCTTCACTGTATATGTGCATCAAATATTTTTGTTTCCTTCTGTTATGTACTGTGAAATGTAAATAAGGTTAATGTTTTGGTTGTACGTGTGTTAGCGTACCACCTCCTCAGTCACACTTTCTATTTCATCTTTTGGGGCTCGCTTGGACTTAACTTTAGTTACAGGTCTAGCAGCAACAATGGGTGGTTGAAGTAGTTCCTGAGAATGTTCAGGAATGTCTTCCATGGCCTCTGCCTCAGGCAATGACTCAGCAGGACCAGTTTGGCTAATCCCATCAAACTGAGGTGGAGGGGATAATGGTTTTACAGTAATCCCTTCAGATGGGAGAGATTCAACAGAATTTACAGGCTCCATATCCTGATCTTCCTGACTATCTGCCCATATATGCCAAACATTCCAGGTTTCAGGATCCCATTTTTTCCCAATCAGTGCCCTCACTTTAACTTCAGACACCATTCTGAGTTGGCAATTTAATTGGCATTGTAATTCAACCACACTTACAGTAAGACTCTGGGTTTGGTTTTCGGCAATATCAGCTGTTACTAGAAGAAGTAAGGTATTCTTTCAGAGCACAACTGGAAACACTGATGTCTTTTATGCAGTGCTTAAGCTGAGACTCAGCAACTCTGAGCTCATTTCACTCTTTCATTACTTTGTTTAGTGTAAGGAGGACCAACCAATCAGCTTCCTTATACTCCTCATGCTGACAAAATTGCAAAAAAGTATCAAATATCTGATCACCCAGAGCATCACTTCTCACAAGTACTTGATCTGTTGGTGGTGCTATTTTGCATATTAATGTTGCCACTTCACGCCACGGATTAGCAGGGCCCTCTTTACTAACAGAGGCAGGGTCACTAGTGTCTTTAAGATTAATCAAACTGGAGAACCAATTTAGGAAGCCCATCCTTATGATTTTTGTCTCTCTAGAACCACTCTTGGTACCACATGTGTTAGACGAGGTTCTCTAGAGAAACAAAACCAGTAAAGCTTATACATATATGTATATAGAGATAAATTTATTTTAGGAAAATGGCTCACACACTTATAGAAACTGCCAATTCCAAAGTTCCTGGATCAAACGTCAAGCTGGAGGCTTTTCCCGACTCTTGCAGCTACCAGGGCTGAGGAGCTCAGAGCTGGCAGACAGTACACTGGCTGTTGACTCCAGCAAATGATGAATCCAAGATCTCCAGGCCGAATGGTGGATTGTTCAGTCATGGACAGTTGTAGGCAGCACAACAGAATCCCAATCCACAGAAGAGTGTCTCTTTTCCCAGGATGTCCATAGATAAACTGGAAGCAGACCATACTCCCTTTCAACAGATTGGCTGTTCAAAACATAATCATCTGATCCCATCATGGGAATAACCACATCACAACAGCTTAAACCATACAGAATTGTGGTCCAGCCAAGTTGACACACAGCTCCAACTATCACAGTTGATTTTCATTATTTTGTGGGTATGTGTTATAGTTCAGTTTGTGTGTCAACTTGGCTAGGCCTGGTTGAGTGGCTGGGCAGCTGATGGTAGTTACTCCCCATGATGAAACTGGCAATCAACTCCATGGTGGGATCTACCACAAGCAGCTGAGTAGCTGCTTTTGGGTATGTGGTCTGCTTCCCGTATATAAGCAGCAGCTTTGGGAATGGTCTCTAGCCTATGGCACGCTTGGACCCTGCATGTAGCTGTGTCATTGTTCAGCAGCCTGCCATGCTCTGCTGACCTTGGGACTTACAATGAACTTAAATTAATGGCCTGCCGTGTGGTTTGGTAACATTGGGACTGTGCCTTTTTACTTGTCAATCTTGGGCTTGTCAGCCTCAGCAGCCAGCAGCTGTCTGAGTGAAGAAACACCTCTAGCTTCAGTGGGCAGGGAGCAGGAGGCAGAGCTGGACCCCAAGGTTGAGGGGCTTTCACCCAGCCCCTAGAGACTGGCACTTTGAACTTGGATGCAAAGCCTCCAAACTGTAAGAGAAGAAACTCCTGTTTGTTAAGGCCATCCCATTTGTGGTATATACTTGTCAGAGCGGCAGTAGGTAACCACGGTGGTATCATACTGATATTTCTTCTGAATATAAAACTATGCAAACTTTGGCCATGTTATTCAATTACTTTGTCAAGTGTCTGATTGCTTTTCTGCATTCTGGTCCTGGACAAAATACTCATCCTTCCTTGTTGCCTCTATTCCTTATTGCCTGAAAAACTCCTGTTTAACCTTGTAGTCTTAAATACAGCATTTGTTTCATTGTGAAGAGGTTCTGCTTTCTTCATACACGTCTTTTTTTTAAATTTTTTTGAACTTTTTGTGATTTGGGTGAAATTTTACAAAGCAGATTACATTCAGCAGTTCATACCCATTTTGTTTTGTCATGTACTTCTTGAGAACTGTATTTACTTTCATGATTCTTATTCCCCAACTCAGAGTAGATGCTCTGTAAATATTTGCTAAATTAAGAAATGAGTGAATGATCAATCTTTTTTAAAAGAAACTTTATTGAGATCTGACTTATATATTATAAAATGAACAAATTTAAAGTGTACAGTTGGATGGTACTTTGTATAAGGATCACTGTAATCTAATTTTAGAATGTTTTTATCACTCCTAAAAACCTATGTCCATTAGCAATCACTGACCATTTTCACCACCTCATCTCTAGGCAACCACTAATCTACTTTCTGTCTCTATAGATTTTCCCATCCTAGATATTTCATATAAAAGGAATCATATAATATGTTGCCTTTTGTGGCTGACTTCTTTTCCTAAGGTCATCTATATTGTAGCATGTGTTAGCATTTTGTTCCTCTAGCTTGCCAAATAATTCCCCATTGTTTGTCCATTCCCCATTTTGTCTGTCCCTTCATCACTTGAGGGACATTTGACTTGTTTCTATGTTTTGGCTATTCAATTCATTTGTCTGTTTTTAAAATTTGTTTATATGAGTTGTACATGTTGTTATTGAATTGTAAGCATTCTATATATATTCTTGATACTATCTTTTATTAGATATATGATTGTAAATATTTTCTGCCTCTCTGTGGGTTGTCTTTTTATTTTCTTGATTATGTTGTTTAAAGCACAAAGGTTTTTAATATTGATGAAGTCCAATTTATAATTTTTTAAGTCACTTATACTTTTGGTATCATATCTAAGAAGTCATTGCCTAATCCAAGGTCATGAAGATTTACACCTGTGTTTTCTCCTAAGCGCTCTTTAGTCTTAGCTCTTATATTTAGGTCTGTGATTCAGTTTAAATTAATTTTTGTTTATAGGGTGGGGTTGAGGTCCAGCTTCTTTCTTTGCAATTGGATGAGCTGTTGATTCAGCACTATTTGTTGAAAAAACTGTTCTTTCCTGAATGAGTCATCGTGAATGTTTTTCTAATCGTATGCCTTTTTTTTCATGATAGTCTTTTAATTTACTTTCTGTGTTTTCATTTTTAGGTTGCTTGTCAAGTGTCCCACAAATGAAAAAAATTTCTACATCTTATGAGGAAAGACGGAAGCAAGCTACTGCTATTGTTTTACTGGGAGTGATAGGAGCTGAATTTGGTGCTGAAATTGAACCTCCCAAACTGTTGACCAGACCTCGAAGCTCTAGTCAAATTCCTGAAGGATTTGGATTGACTAGTGGTGGATCCAACTACTCATTGGCCAGACATACTTGTAAGTTTTTGCGTTTTTAATGCTGATCTATTGCTTCTCAGTACACACTATTCATCATCAAAATCTCAAAACATGTCCTGAATTTTAGCTCATCTACAATGTTTAAATGAAGTTAGGAAGCAGTACAGTCATTTGGCCCATTGTTTTTTATTTACCCAAACCTTTTTGAAAAAATTAAGGTATGGTCTTTTAAATACTTTTCTCAAAATAACACATTTCTGAGCTTTGCTTTCTCACATTTTTAGTCAAGATTCTAGCCAAAATTTATGAAAGAAGCTTCAAGGTAAAATTTCTGAAATAATTTTTGGAGAACTTTGCAGTTTGTTGTTCTGCACATGATTTTAAAAGTGAGAAATTGAGGCATAATACCAGCTTTTTCTTTTGATTTTATGTGTGTGTGTGTGTGTGTGTGTATACAAAAAGAGCACAAGTGATGAATGATCTCTGTAATTAAAAAAAATCAAATAATCCAATTAAAAGATGGGTAGAAAACACGGACAGATGCTTCACCAAAGAAGATATTCAGGCAGCTAACAAACACAGGAAGAAATGCTCTTAGCCATCGTTGTTGTTGTTGTTACGTGCCGTTGAGTCGGACCCGACTCATAGCGACCCCTCCTTGGGTTTCCAAGGCAGTATCACTATGGAAGTAGATTGCCCCATCTTCCTTCCGAGGAGTGGCTGGTGGGTTTGAACCGCCAGCCTTCTGGTTAGCAGTCAAGTGCCTTAGGCACTACACTACCAATAGCAAAGTTTAAAAAACTAGGAAACAGCAAATGCTAGTGAGGATGTAGAGAGACTAGAACCCTCATATACTGCTGGTGGGGCTGGAAAATGGTACAGTGGTATGGCACTTCCTTAAAAAGCTGGAGATAGAAATACCACACAATTCAGCAGTCCCTCTACTAGGTTTATATCCTAGAGAAATAAGAGCCATGACACAGACAGATATATGCACACCCATATTCATCACAGCACTATTCACAGTAGCAAAAAGATGGAAACAACCTAAATGCTCATCAGCAGAGGGATGGGTTAACAAATTATGGTCCGCTCATACAATATGATGATATGCAGTGTTAAAGAACAAGGATGAATCTGCAAACCAGCTTGTAACATTGATAAACTGAGAGGTCATTATATTGAGTGAAGTCAATCAGTCACAAAAGGACAAATATTATGTGACACCACTGTTGTAAAAAGTCAGGTAAAGGATGTCACACACACACAAAATATATGATGATTATCAGGTGGGAAGGAGAGGAGGGGACATCACTACCTAGAGGGAAGACAAAACAAAACAAAAATCCACCTCAGTAACCATTTTGAAATGCCTCAAATCTTATGGTCAGCTCAGAGGGCTGGTGTTACACTGCTGCCTTTAGCTGTGTGCTTGGTGATTAATAATAGGTGTGGCTGTTTTATAAGGGGGCCTTTGGGTACTTTAGTGTTAGGACTTCTTTAGATAAGGTCCACAATGTTCCTACCATATGGCAAAATCATTTCTAACAAATTGTGTTACTTTTAAGATCCAAGTATAAACATGCTGACTACAAGACATTATTTGTAGAGCAAAATGCAATGTATTCTTTTGGGTATTTGGCCTCTAAGCAAAAGATATATGTATATATGTATATATGTATGTGTATATATATGTATATGTATCTATATGTATGTGTGTGTATATGTATGTATGTATATGTATATATATGTATATGTATTTGTATATATGTATGTATGTGGACAGATGTGTGTGTATATATATGTATGTATGTATATTTCTTTGTTAGTTATGACAGCATAGAACTTTAACAGACCATTGCCACATACTTCTGTTGTAAAACCAAGGAACAAGATAGTGGCTTTTACTATTAAAACCCTCTAATAGATTTAACTGCTGCTTCTGTAGCTTTATTATTTTAAACACTCTTAATTCAACAAGTACTTATTAGTGGTCGCTAATCTCTTGATTTCTGCTTTACATTGTGAATTGGAAAGTAATAATAACAATAACACAACTACCACTGCCAGTAATAAATCAACTAGGTGTTCAGAGCACTATTTTACACCCTGATTTACATACATTGACTCAATCTTCCTGCTAATCTTTACTCTATAAATTGGGTACCTGTATTATCACCATTTTACACACATAGGCTGCTGACCACAGAAAGGAGATGGCTGTTCTTGTCTTAACCTAGTTGGTTGGTTCCAGAGCCCATTTCTTGAACCATTGGGTAAACTGCTACCCTTCAAGGATTACCACTTGAAAGGAAGTGATGTCTAACATGTGCTATCACTTTATTAGTTAAAAGCACTTTCTTTTATATGCCTTTATGTGTTTTTCAAAGAGTTGTGGTGGTGCAGTGGTTAAGGCATTCGTGCTAACCAAAAGGTCAGTGGTTTGAAACCATCATCCGCTCCATGAGAGAAAGCTGAGGCAGTCTGCTTCTGTAAAGATTTACAACCTTGAAAATCCTAGGTAGCCATGCTGCTCTGTCCTGTAGGGTCACTGGGAGTCAGAATCAACTGAACAGCAGAGGGTTTGGTTTTGAGTTGGTTTATTTAATCTTCAAAGTAGAAATTAAGACTTCTTTAAAGTGGCTCAGCTTAAAAGTGGTAAATCCTGAACTTGAACTCAAGCTGCTTTTGACCTGAAAATCCATGGCCTTTCCGTTTTCCAGCTGGGCACGCTTGCTTTCCCTCTCCTGCCATGCATGACATGCTTCTGACCACTATCTCTCAAGTCCAGCTGATTTGTGTTTTCTTAAATTCAAGCTCCCTGCCTTCCATTAGTAAAACCCTGCTCACATCTCACCCCCTCCACAAACGGTTCTTTGATGAGGCCTGCCTGTGGCACTCCAGACAGCCCAGACCTTACATATACGCTTCCTTCCTTAGAATCTTGGCATGATGATGTTAGAGTTAATGAAACTTTGATGTAATTTATTCCGGTAGCGTCAAAGTTTTTTGACCACCATTTCCCCAGTGAGTATGGATAAATGTAACCCCTTGCATGTATTTTTGTTGACCATGACAACTTTTTAATAGTAAGTTCCAACATTTACAAAAGATGTAATTTTGAGGATAATTTCAATATTGATGTTTAAAAGTAAAACTGTTGTGTAGCTCTTTTAAATGGCTCCAATAAAATATTTTCCACAACTATTTGATATACCCTTCATCATTTATTTAAAAAAAAAGCAAACCCTGTAACCAAGCTTTTCTTTAATAGTCAGAAATCTTACACCCGTGATCATTTTCCTCAAAGAGAGAAAATGTCTACCTTCACAGTTTTAGGGAAGGAATTCATTTGCAAAATTAGCATCTGAGAGTCAATTCCATTGTAATCACCTGTGTCTTAAAACTGTGTGTGCTGTGAACTAACTGTTCTTTAAGAAGCATTAATATGCTTCCATTTGAGGGGTGGTTTTTCTTTTGAAGACCACCAGTTTAGTCCAGAATGTTTTATATAATTTCTCAACAGTTGTTCTTTGAACCTTTAGTGTTCTCAAAAGTCTTAGGTTGTTTGGTGGTACATTTGCCTAGTACTGGGATTTTTCAAGATCTTTCTTATTTGAGTTGGGATGTTTTGATTGTTTTTGTGTTTACCTGTTTAAATCTTGCTGTAGTATTCTCCTGGTTGGATATCTGGATGTGTCTGTCCCTAATTTGGATTCTTTAGATTAGTCATGTATAATATTAACCTGTTATAATGTTAATATGATGGAAACTCCAATATGTATTGCCATGTTGTCTGTTTATATGGCATTTAGGATACCTTACCTGTACCTGTTGCTGTTGGGTTGACTCCAACTCATAGTGACCCTATAGGACAGAGTGGAACTGCCCCATAGAGTTTCCAAGGTTGTAAATTTTTACAGGAGCAGACTGCCACATCTTTCTCCCTTGGAGGGGCTGGTAGTTTCAAACCGCTGACCTTTCAGTTAGCAGCCAAACACTTAACCACTGTAACACGAGGATTCCTTTAGAATGCATTGCTGCCATTAAATATTTACTCATTATGGCATCTTAGTGAATGAGATAATAATAATTATCCTCAATTTAAGATAAGGCCATTAAGATACTATGGTTGAAGAACTTTGATTGCTAATGTAGTTAGAAGTGTAGATAGTAAGTTTTAACCTTCTTTATAAACCATTCTATGAAAATCATAAGGTAGACAAATCCCAATTATCCACATAATGGGAGAGAAGAGTGACATGAATGCATAATTCAAAAGCCATATTTGGTCTTAGAATACATTTTTATATTTATATTTGAATATAAATGAATCTTTTGTGGAAGTTGCACTTTACATAAAATATCAAAATCACATATTTAGAGCACAGCTGAAGAAGCCTGAAGATTAAGAGGCTTAGATGAGACCCCTCTCTTGCATCATATCTTGGGTAAACTAAGTGTCTGTCTAAATCATAGTTTCCTCTTGTGTAAAATGAAAGATGGAAGTTATCCTGTCTTAAAGGTCCCCCTAGCTGCAGTCAGTCTTTGCTTCTGAAGCAAAGTGAAAGTCACCTTCCTTACCACCTCCACCACCTTCCTGTTCCGTGCTCCATGTAGAGGTGTGTGCTCTCCTGCTTCATGTAAATCAAGTTCAGCAGAGATCCTTCTTCATTTTTTTTGAACCCACACGTGCGGCACCATGAGAACACTTCATTTAGAATATTGCCTTTTAGGTCATTCAGTTCATTCTTTGGTCTCTTCCTCATGTTTGGTAATTGTAGAATTACAGTTGTGGCATATCTGGGGTAAATCCGGTCTGAGCTCTCATTAGCTTTTTAACTTTGGGCAGGTGTCACATGTCATTCCTATAAGCTGAAAACTGACACAGATTTGTGTGTAGGAGTATTCTTGGGATCAGTACTATCTGGGGAGTGAAGGAAGCAGAATTTGGCAGGGGGAGAAGTTGGATTTGTGTTTTAGTTGCAAAGAAAACTTCAGTCCAGATCTTTGGGGGACTCTGGTGTTGGATGGCTGCA